AAAAAAAATCCTCAAAATAAACATTTAGGGTATATTCCCACCGAGAAATAAAAATTACTATCTTGAAATCAAGATTCATTAAATCATGAAATCTGAAATACCAATAAATACCAAAAAATGGCGTGCATTCTAATGAGGAAATGGTACTAATTTAAATATTTAGGGATTTGTTCTTTGGCACAGGTGGAAACTTCTGCAAAATAGGATTGATTTCAGGTGAGTCCCCTTGTCATACTACTTAGGCGGGAGTGTGTGTGTGTGTGTGTACGTAAGTGCGCGTGCATGCATATGTGCACGTGTGCCCGAGTGTGCATGACCCCACCTCTGACTGAGTCTCACCGAAAAGTAAATGGCCAGACTATTAACCATCAATGCAGGACCTGGTGGATTTTTAATTTTTGCCCCCAGAGATATTTTAAAACCAGCTTTTCTTGGTATCAAATGTCCTCAAGCCCAACAATTATAATTTCCAATAATTGATTGTCCCCAAGCAGAGTGATTTGATGATGTGGCATGAAGGGCACTCAGTGAACAAATATATCTCGTGCATCTGCCACGTGCAGGGCAGTCATCATCCTTACTGAATGCTTGCAGCAGGCTGCCTGGGAAAGCCCAGAGCAGGGGAGGTGGGAGGATGGGGTATGGGGAGGGTTGGGGGTCTCCTACAGATTGTGGCACCTTTTGCCCAGAGCTCTGAGTCTCCAAGGTGGCCTTTTCCTCTAAGTGACTTCTAGGGGGCACTGGTGTTTTATCACTTAACGTATGCACTTTCAGAAAGCCTCAACTGGTTGCAGAAGTTACCGTGCTTGATTGCCAAAGTCTGCATGCTGTTAGCTTTGTGTAGGTGAGTTTGCAGGGGAACAAATGCTGTGGAATGTTAGGATCCTGGTGAGCTGCCATCCTAGCACAGCACGGAATGGGGAAGGCTTCACAAGGATTGACGGTACCCCTTGGTGTCAGTTGATTTGGATACTACAGAGGCCCTTCCACCAACTACCACCATCACTGGAAATGTCCTGGCTTGGGGTTGGGGAAGGAGGAGGGGAGCAGCCAGTTCTTTGAAGATCTCAGGTCCCCTTCAGGCTGCCACGGAGACTAAAAACGAAACCTACTGCCACCATAGCTGCCCTTCACTGTGCACTGCAGGCTTTTAGAAAGTTCCATGGGAAAATCATCTAACTGCTTGTCAAGGACTTCCAATAACTCTCTGACTGATGATAACAGAAGTTTTTGGGGAGCAGTAATAATGTGTGTCTGGCTGGAGTGAATATAAGCTGGTATTTTCTAGATACAGTTCAAGTAATTTACTTCAAAAGTATACTTAAAAATTCATTTCTGTAAGGAGTTCTCAAAAGAATTTTGGTGATATGGTTCAAAGTTTGTCTAAACCATTTGCTTAAAAATAATCTTTGTCAAGTCAAAAATTTCCACATCTGCATTTCTACCTTCCTTTCTTGATTCTAATCCATCTTCTCTCATTGTGATTTCTTTGTATGTCACATTAGCTTTTTTCAAATTGCATTTAAGTGTCTCTCAGTTGCCCTGCTAGTTTCTAAATGACCGCCAGGAAGTGAGAGTTAAGCCCTGGATGTGAAGGATTATTTCTTCTTGAGATATTTGCCTCTGTAACGTTGTCTTCCTCATGAACACTTCAGACGTCTTCTGATGGGAACATGGCATGTTTCCCTTTAGTAATATGTGTCATATCTAGAGCTGGTTGACTGAAATGGTTTAGATTGGAAATAATCAACAGAAATGGCATTCCTGTAAAAAAACATTTGGTGAATAGGTAGAATGAAAACATAGTTCCAATGCACGCTTTTGCCTAAACAGTGTTTATTCAAATGCTTGCTTTAGGGATTTATAGGAAATGCCCTGTCCTCTTTATGTGAAGATAATTCTAGTAATTTCATATCGCTGGGTGTGATCTCATGACAGCATAGTTAAAGGATGTACAAGATGAAATTTGAGATTGAAAAGAAAATATTCCTTACTGCTTTTGATGGTTGCCTGGAGCTGTATGTTCCTTAAATTTCCAAACGAACTTTTGTAGGGAGGAGGGAAAATGCGTGGAAGGAATTCTGGAAATCTTTGACATGCTCCTGGCAACAACTTCAAGGTTTCGAGAGTTAAAACTCCAACACAAAGAGTATCTCTGTGTCAAGGCCATGATCCTCCTCAACTCCAGTAAGTAACCACACAGCTGGGCCGTGTTCTGTGGGAGAGAGATGCTGTTTCTAGAACTGGCATGGCTAAAGAGTATTGAACTTCTTATTTTATTTGAAAAGGGGAAAATGGCTTTCTTTTTGACCTCTCTGTTTCATTTTATAGGGATTTAAACTGTAGTTAACTTTTGGTAATTTGTATATAAATTATTCATTAGGTGAATTGCTAGTAGTAATTTAAAAAGTAGCTCGAGCCACTTTGCTGGAAAAGAAAAAATGAACCTTAAAATGTTTACCTCTCATTTTTTTATCTTTTTTTGACATTTTTATTTATTTATTTTATTGAGGTATAATTGACATATAACACTATATTAGTGTCAGATGTATAAAATAATGATTTGGTATTTATATATATTGAGAAATGATCACCACAGTAAGTCTAGTCAACATCTGTCACCATACACAGATGCAAGATTTTTTTTCTTGTGATGAGAACTTTTAAGAACTACTCTTTTACCAACTTTCAAATACACAATACAGTATTAACTATAGTCATCATGCAGTATGTTATTACATCCCTATGACTTATTTATTTTATAAGTGTACTTTCAACTTTTGTTCAATGTTTATGCAGGCTTTTTTCATGGTTGACACGCATTTATATTTACTGTTTTGGGTTTGCTTTTACAGATTCATTTATTCATTCATTTATGTGGTAAAGACATTAAAGATATAGCAGCTCAAATAGCTCTTAGTGTAGGAGGGAGAAAGAGAAAAATTCGTTAAAAAGAATGATCTCAGTGCTAAAATAAAGGACGTACAGAGCACGGTGGGAAAACAGAAGGAGAGACGAGGGAGTGGTTGCAGAAGGGAATGAAGTTTGAATGTTGAATGAGTAGCTGGACAGGTGGAAGGATAGACACGGAGGAATGAAAGAACATGGGCAAGCCAGGAGCTGCAGGTCAGGCGATGGGGGAGCGGAGGGAGATGCACAAGGTTGTAAAATGCAGCGCTGAAGATTGCAGCGCACACTTCAGGTTGAGAGCTGCTGCCGGGGGCATTGAGCAGCCCTAGAGGAGGTTCAGGCTGGGGAGCATCATGGAGAGAGAGGCATTCTTGAAAGGTCCCTCTGGCTTCCCTGTGGAGGACTGACTGGAGAGGGGAGAGACCGAGGCAGGGGGCCCAGTGGGAGTTGCTAGGGACTACGAGAGCCTGAACTGAATTGGTGTGGAGGGGCCAGGGAGGAAGGGACCTGACTTGAGGGAAATAGAGGGGTTAGAGGTGGGAAGTGAGGAAGGTGTCTAAGATATGTGTATGTTGTAACTTTGCTGTTTTTTATTATTATATAAATAATACCTGGTTATTGTAAACATTCAAACAAAAGAAAAACATAGAAGGAAGAAAATAAAAATCGCTGGGAATCCTGCCTCCCCACCTAAGATAACCACCATAACTTTGGTGACCATTCTTTAACAGCTCTCTCTATAGATAGATACATATAGATATATAGATATCTATAGAGAGAAATATGCATGCATACATATGCTCACATATCTAATTTTACATGAACAGCATAGCATCTTATATTAAAAGTCATAGAGACTGTGAAAGAGGCTTGCTTTGATCCTCCCACCCCAACACCAAGTAGCTAATCTTACCAACCGGAGGCTAGACTTTATACCTTCTTCCATCCTCTAATAATACTTTAAAATAATACCTCACCTCCAATGTACCCACAGATAGGGGTTTTTTTTCCCCCCATTTTTAAAAAATTGGGACACTATATACAGACACTTCTCTGCATCTTGATTTTTTACTTTTCAAAATGCTGTGAAATCCCTCTAGGTCAACCAGGAGAGCTCTAACTCAATCTTTGAAGTGAGGGCATTGTCTCAGTTGTTCAGCCGTTTCTCTGTTGATGGGCCTCTACCTAATATACAGTTCCTTTTTTTTTTTTTTTTTTTACCATTATAAACATTGCTAGAATAAATAGAGATGTATTATTTTGTACACGTTTTCTAAGTTTCTATGTTTCATACTATAGTTTTCATACTGTTCAGTTTATTATCTACCTGGTATTTGATCCAGCTACTATACCAGGTGTTCATTGCTTTGCTTAGCTCTTTACTCTTGCTGGGCTTTTAGGTTATTATTTTTTCTTTCTTTCTCAAATAATAGGTATATTCAGTTTTTAATCCTCAACCGATAACTTACAGGTACCTTCATTTGGGCATCATATGGGGCTTTATTACATAGATTTTATCCAATCTTAGAGTTTAATGTTTGAACAACAGAAGTCTGTGAAATCATATTATGCTACTTTGTTTTAAATCAGCCCAAGCAGCAGTTCCTGAAGCCAAAACTCAATGCAGAACCTGTGGCCACATAGGTCCCAGGCTGCCTCCTGACCTGGGGCCAGCTGAGCTGTCGCTCTCCAGCAGACACTCATCTCCTCTCTAACACTCACACATACTCTCAGACATTGGCACTAGTTTTGATGAAGAGGGAAACATACTAGAACAGTGTTTCTCAAACTATCTATAGTGAAGGACCAGGTTTCTTTTTCTTTTTTTTTTTTTTTTTTTTCGTTTTTTGTGAGGAAGATCAGCCCTGAGCTAACATCTATGCCAATCCTCCTTCTTTTTTTTCTTTCCCTTTTTCTCCCCAAAGCCCCAGTAGATAGTTGTACGTTATAGTTGCACATCCTTCTAGCTGCTGTATGTGGGATGCCACCTCAGCATGGCCAGACAAGCGGTGCGTCGGTGCGTGCCTGGGATCCGAACCCAGGCCGACAGTAACACAGCGCGCACACTTAACCACTAAGCCACGGGGCCGGCCCCCTCTTTTTCTTTTTAAATTTCCAAATTGTTATAGACAGTTACTTTTTTTTTTTTTTTTTGGTGAGGAAGATTCGCCCTGAGCTAACATTTGTGCCGATCTTCCTCTGTTTTGTATGTGGGTCGCCACCACAGCTTGCCCACCGATGAGTGGTGTAGGTCCATACCTGGGAACCGAACCTGGGCCACCGAAGCGGAGTGCGCTGAACTTAACCACTAAGCCACGGGCCCAGCCCCTCGAGACAGTTACTTTTGTAAAATATAATAAAAATAAATTACTAGAAAAATGAAATGAAAGTGCAAAATACAAGCCCTAGTTTTTATGTTATTACATTCAACTGATTTAGAATTACTCTGTCAATTGCTGTAAGTTTCCAAATGCTTACCCTCAATTTCTACTTTTCTCTTTGTGCACTGGTAACAGACCATACTTTGAGTAGCCCTGGAGTGCTGTCCAGGAGATGGCTGGATTGAGGGGGACAGTCAGGTCTTGAAAGAGGGGGAAGGGGGGGAACGAAGAAGGAATCTGAAGGTCATGTGAGGTACAGAGACCCTGAAGAAACCTTTGGGTACTTCCAAGCTGGGTCTCAATCTGGCCCTACCTACCTAACAGGACATTTCCCCTGCACCCAGTACACTCCTTGCCCCAGTTCTGAAAAGCAAACAGTTCATGAGTAGAAATGGTAAATTGTGAGACAAATGAAAATTGTAGGAAAAGCCAAGAAGACTCTTAAATGCTTTGGGGCTTCTGGTACTTTCTTGGCATTTATTATTACTATTCACCTTTTACAAAATACTATGAGAGCCCAGCTTAATCAGTGATTAAGTTGATGTGCATATAAGAAATGTCCAGGTGGGACGTTTGAAATTGATGGTGGAAGAAAATCAACTTTTTCTGATCTTCTCTTTGAATGCTCCTACAGACATTACCTCACATGTGTGCTACCATTTCTGTTTTGTTAAAGGGAAGATTTGCTTGAAAAGTATATTCCCACCTTGGCAAAGTAGGATCATCAAATGCCAGATTATGGGGCTTCTCTAACTTGCAGAAATAATTTAGAACTCTTTTCTGTGCAGCAAAGTGCTCCTTGGAAAGCAGTTTGCTTCTTGTTACAACACTTTGCAATATAAAGCCTTCTATTTGGCAATATTCCTTACAATCATTTTAGCCTCTGAGACATCATATTGTGTTTTTGTGAAAGCTAGAAGCATCATCTGTGCAAATGGGAAAGACTAAGGCTAAGGCATTCCTCCTGCAGCATCTGACAGAACTGCCATATTAAGAGAATTACAGAGGGTGAGGCAGACATGTGATGTAACTACCACTTGTGGTGGTAAATGAGTAGAATTTGTTTACAGTAAATCCAAATTTAAGAAATCTTCTTTTACTATATTTCCTTTCTTGCTTGGTAGTCATAACAGTTGTCAAAATGAATTTATTCTGTTCAGCATTGCTGTTAGGAAAATGAGATTCTGTTTCTATGGAAAATTTCCACTGTTGGGGGGGTGGGTCTTTGCTATGCTAGATTTTAAGCATTTGAAGGTACAAGTTTTTTTCTTCTGGATTATTTGTAGCATTAAATTAAAAGCCAAAACAAGGACAGAATCCACTTTCCCATCTTAAATTTAAAAAACCCTGGCAGAATATGTAAAACAGACATTGGACATTGGACAACAGGCCGCACAGGACAGTGATCCCCAAGAGAAGGAACACAAACAAGATGAGCCCTTTGATTGCCCAGGCTAGTTTCCAGGTTACAACATAGGGAGAGGTAACCCAAGTAGCCACTAGTGTCTCCTTGAACTGAGGAGACAGAGTTGTGAATTTGGGGAGGCCAAGGCAGCTAGGATTTGCAGGGGAGAGTACTGGAGAGGAAAGAGCTGGACACAGAGGCTTTGGAGATCTGCAGAGGGTCCCCTTCAAGTCTTCAGCTGAGCACTAGTCTGCTCATGCTTATGAGGATGCTAACCATGGACAGGGAAAGAACCATCAGAAAGGAGTAGGCAGAACAATCCCTAGAGTTCACACAGGGCCAGGAATAGTTCATGTTCTCACCAGCCAGAGGGGAAAACCTTGTATATACTGGACATTGGGTGTAGTATTCAGAAAGGTATTGCCTCAGTAGTGGGGTAAATTCACCCTAGACTAAAGGCTGCTCTGGTCCTACCAAACAGAACTTAAAAG